TAAAAATAATCTTGATCATCACAATGCCATAAAAGACAACACGCTGAATTTTTCAGATATTGGAGTCTAGAACTTTAAAGAATAACTCTTCCTTTCTTTTTAAGGCTCAAGGCCCCTCGTGTCATTGGTCTTCCTGTAAAATCCTTTCTGTAATGAGAACACATTTTGTGCCCTAAAATCTCTTTTGTTTTCTCAACATCTATTTTGTATTCTTTTGTTTTCTCAATTTTAGGTTTGGTCTCTTGTTCTTCTCATCTGGCCTTTGGTGATCTTCATTATCTTGGCTGTCACCCGCTCACAATTCCCTCCTGTCCAGAAATCGACATGTGAGTCTTGGGAATAATCAGCTAGATACAATATCAGCTCCTTGTCATTTGGCGGTACTATATATTTTTGGGTTTTCTTTGCATTCATTTTAGATCTTCTCAATTGAGCAGTAGGCAGAAATGGTGATTAGCGCTAGTGTCTCAGAGACAGGGTCCTGGGTTCGAGTGTGGGCTGGGCCAACTGTATGTGTGGAGTTTGCATGTTCTTGCCATGTGGACACAGGTTTCTGATCAGGTGTTCTTCTTTTCTCCCATGGACATCGGGGTTAATCAGCTGCAGGTGGATTTTTTGGCAGGTTAGGAGGTGGGGGACAGAATTGTGTTCCTGCTGCAGCTAGTACTGGCTGTGGAACTGTACAGGTGCAGAACAAGAAGCAGATGATCTTGATGGACTACAGTCTTAATTAATGGGTCTTCTCTCATTTGCAGCCTTACTGATGCTATTCTGATGTTGGGTTCTTTGGATTGCTTGATTGCTGTCGGCAGACATTCAGGGAGGATTAGCGGCAGTCTATGAGTATAATACTACCGGAGTACATGCATGAAGCCAGAAAATTAAGAGGAACGTTAATTAATGATGACTTAGAGACAGGACAGAAAAGAAGCATCAAGGGAAGATGAATGATGACTTGGAGCTCTGTGTTCCCATTTTGCAGACTGGAACATTTTTTTGCAGATTATAAATCTTACAGCATATGCAATACTGCAGTACTATCCTTATACACGTGATGACTCACGGCATTATACATTTTTTGTATACAAAGCGTGACAAAGCAACCAGATTGTTTCCTTCTGCCTTTATTGCCTTTTGTCAACACTGACATTTTTTTCTTTTCCACTCCTACGATTCTCGTTTGACATATATTTCACATACATATGCTGCCAAGTGCACATACAGTACACCTGTATGGCTTGTTTGTATTAAGATGTAGTCTGACAAGGTATGTCTGAGTTATGAGCTCACGTGTTCTGTGTGTTAATGCAGGTGTGTCCTTACACAACAAACAATATTTCCACCACGTCACAACAGAAAGAGAAACATTGCTGGAGTGAAGCCATCAACACACACAGTGCAAAGGAACGACATGGACTTTCGAATGGACTTTAAAATGGCAGTCTGGTATAAATGGCGCAACTCTGTTCTTGTCTTGCTTATATTCTTCACTGTCACTGTTAAACAGATTACTCTGCTAAATATCAGACTTCACTATTTGTTACCTCTTTGAAAGAGGTCACCTTTTTAGCGGGTATAAAACTTGATCTGCTTTCCTTTCTGCTACGAAACAATGCAGCGTTCCAGTACAATAAGTGTATTTTTCATTTAATTATGGTGGTCAAATAATTTTATTTTACATAAAACAATTATAAGACAAGGAGAACTGGAAACCATCAGTTTCCCCATAACTTTTCCCAGTAATGACTGTGATCTAGAAAAACTGGGGGTAGAGATAACAAAGATTATCCATTAACTTTCTAGTGTTCCAATTTTCCTTCCGGGTTCACAGAACTCGTCAGTCTTTGGTTTTGGTAAAATTGTGAATTGCACAACAAAGCAAGCCTCCTTGGCAAGAAATGTACAATATTGCACATGAATGAAAGATAAACTTTATGAAGAAATGTTATTACACATAATAGTTGTAATAAAAGTGAATCTGTAATATATTTTTTTAAAATTATGAAACTCCTTAAAGTTTTACACCTGTGCATTGTTAAAATTTGATGTGTTGTTTTTTTTTTGTCTTGACTTGTGAATCTCACTTTAGAAATGTTTACCCAACACAGTAGTCCATAGTACATACTACAGGCAGGCAGGGCTGTCGATGTGATTCACTGTGTTCAATGTACAGCCCTATGGAGCAGTGAATTTGTGATGCATTATTGGAAGGCTGTGGGTTCCTGGGCAGGACACTGCAGCTGAACCCTTGAGCAAGGTTCTTTACACAGATTGCTCTGGTAAAATGCTCTGCTGTAGGAATGGATAGAAAAGTGACTTGCTGGCCATGAAAGAATCAGCCAAACAAAAAGCAATGGTATTATTAACCTGTGGGGTTTTGTTTTGTAGTTTGCACTTCATGTATTAACGGTCCAAGGATTCTCTCTGAGAGAGTGTTACGTCAGGCCAGACGCTTGTTGAATTCGCTAGAGAGAAGGGCACCCTCTTTGATAAATGGTGTGTAGCCAGTAAAGTGAGCGATTTTAACTCATTGCGCGAGTTAATGCCCTTAGAAGAATTTAGGAACTCTTTGCCTGAAGGCGTGGTTGTCTCTTTAAATGAACAAAAAGTGTCTTCCTTGTCACAAGCCGCTGTTTTGGCAGATGAGTTTGTGCTCACTCACAAGAACGTTTTTCATGTCTGCGCGTGCGGAGAAGACTTTATCTACTCCCAGTTCCCAGTCTCAGTCTAACCCAGTAAAAACGAGTCCCCCACGTCCTAAAGAGGAGCGCGAATGTTTTTACTGTCACAAGAAGGGTCATATAATTGCTGATTGTATGACGCTAAAACGTAAGCAGCAGCAGCAAGTAAGAGTGTAGGGCTTAGCAATGCTGTTTCCCATGTTCCCGTTCCTTTGACTATTGAAAATACTCCTGACTCTAGTTATGAACCTTTTCTCATGAAAGGGTCAGTTTCGTGAACGGGTGAACCAGGGGATCAGACGCCAATTCAGATTTTGAGGGATACTGGAGCAGTCCAGTCATTTATTGTTGCAGACACACTGCCTTTTTCTGATCACTCCTCATGTAATTCTAGTATCTTGGTCCAAGGGATTGAAATGGGATATGTGAAAGTGCCTCTACACAAGATACATTTGGATTGTGCCCTAGTTGCAGGGTTTGTTAATGTCGGTGTACGACCTTCGCTACCTGTTAAAGGCATTAGTCTTATTTTAGGAAATGACCTGGCCGGGGGTAGAGTATAGCCTATTGTTTGATTGATTTTGTTTTTTGCTTTGTCCAAACCTTAGATGTTTGTTTTTATGGGAGGGGGTGTTACTGTACGTCCCAGTGTGTGTTTGTTGTTATGTTCCACACTGCTGACCTTGATTGTTCTCCCTCCCTCATTGGTCCATCATTACACTGTTGTTTCATTATGATGTCATAATCAATCAGCTTCTCAGCCAATCAGAACTCATCTTATTCACTATATAACATGGAGGCTTTCAGAAAGAAGAGGCCTTTTGTTTTACTTTGGCTTCTGGTTTGGCTTCTGGTTTGGCTTCTGGTTTGGCTTCTGGTTTGGCTTCTGGTTTGGCTTCTGGTTTGGCTTCTGGTTTGGCTTCTGGTTTGATGGTTTGTCAGTTTGTCAGTTTCTGTTTGTTTCTTTGCACTTTCATTTGTTTGTGTTATCCTTATTTTGCCAGAACCTTGCCCAAACTTGTTATTGTATCAACCTCTGTGTTCTTTTGTACCCTGTTACTTGTCTACTCTCATTTGTTTTTCATAGTTCACTTGTGTATTTCTGTGAACTTTTGTGTATAGTTAGTTCAGGTTGTTGGGTACATTTTGCACACACGTAGTTGATTCTAGTTTTAGTCACACTAGTTTAGTACGGGTGAGTGCCGTTTGTCTTGTATAGTTTTGGGTAGCCAGTGGAGGTTAGCTAGGGTGTTGAAGACGCCGAAGAGCGTGTGTTTCGGGTTTTCTTTTGTAGTCAGGTTAGCTTTCCCTCACTTTCTTAGCCAGCACCATTTTGTTTATTTTCTCTTCTTTGGCACCACTCTAGTTCCCTTACCCTGTGTGTTATTGTGTCTTATTTTATACCAGTCACTTATTCAACTTAAAATCATCACTTTTGCACCAGCCCTTGTTATCACACTTCCTAGTCCCTCACCAGAACCCACCTGCTTCCAAAAATTATCCTAAATGTTACACAAACGACAGGGCAGAACTGCCTTCAGCAGGCTTGAAGGCAATAGATGCTTATGCGTAATCCTCGTTATTCTATAGTGGTACTGTGAACCCAGCTGAATTAAATGAATCTTATGTTATCTATTTTCCGAATGATTCAGTCCCAGATTTTCACCATTTCTTTAGTGGGAAGTGCATGAAGAACTAACAAGCTACATTTTTTAAAAACCTTTTTTAAAATCCAGTTTCCGGTTGTATTCCAGGATAATTGTAAAGGAATACCATTTGATTATCCAGTGCAATTTTCTTCATTTCTATTATGTTTTCCACAAAGATAACCTTGCAATGGAAGCCATTCGGAAGACCACAACTACATTATTAATCATTGTGAAGTCATCTGCTAACAGACATGTCCATATAGTCACATCACGTATGAATATAATAACATTATTCTGTTACTCCACCAACATTCTGGGTTTAATTAAGAAGCAGCAGGTGTTACTCAGTGTTGCAGATCTGGTTGATTTGCGGTTCACATTCAGTTTTGTAGTGTGCATGGTGTAAACTGATGATGTCTTCCCTTTGCTCTCTCTCTTTAGGCTATGCCGCCCCTCGTAACCTCCCCAGCGCTGGCTTCTTCCCCTTCCTGCAGACGCTGCTGTGCAACTCCGACAGCGTCTGTGCCAACAAGTCCTATCTCCTGGGGAGCCGGTCTGCCGCCCTCCGCAGCCTCAGCTGGAGCTCTGAGGATGCCAGCAGGTACAGCCGGCTCCTTTGCAGTGCACAGCCTTGTGAGCTGGAGGTGAACAGCCCTCTGACACGGGGATCATATCTTCACTGCAAGCAACAAGCAACAGCAGCAGGTCACTCTGCTTTTGCCCAACACGTAGGGTCTGACACTGATGACCAAGCAGAGGGCTTGGTGTTTATAATGTGGCCGCAAAAGTCTGATGGGACACCTATATTTTTCTGCTACGCTTGGGGGTCCTCATTTTAGTATTACAGAACTTTTAAACGGCATTCAGCTGAATTTCAGAGATGATGATGAATTTTATACCTCTATAATATGAATGAACGTAGATATGGAATTAGTGTTCGTTTTCAAAATAGTGTGTCCCTGTTATATGGTGTACTATGCATATTTGCTTGTAGCTTTATGAGTGATATGCACGCTGGAACAGATGTGTCAAAGATGTCGCAATTCTAACTTAGCTGAGTGCATGAGACTCCAGCTCTATGTCTCACGTCAGCAAAGGAGGTCACATGGGCTCTAAAGCTCTCATTTCCCGGGTGGGTCATGACCAGCTCACCCATTGGCACACCTTAGTTTTTGTAGAATGAACAGAGTATGAATGAAGAAAGAAGAGGATGAAAAAATGTTTCTTTTTTTCCAGTGTTCAGTGGAATGTCAATAGAAAGCACACACAGAAAAGAAAAGGCTGTACCGTATATATACAGTACCTGTATAAAGCAATATTTGCCCAATTTTCTGAAGGTTTGTCTGAAGGTTGATTGTAGCACACAATATAGTAGTTTCGAGAAATGGTATTGTGGGAAGAAAGCTTTGTCTGTATTTTATGTAGTCAATGGGGAATACAGAGTCATTGTTTGGAGCTGTAGAGGCCATGCTACCTGTCACTGTCAATAAAGAAACTAGGAGTCAGCTAGACAAGGGAAAAACACACCCATAGACGACTGAACTGCTAGGGTTACATGCTTTATTGAAAAAAGGAGGATATCAGCTTTCTAGTTTTTACAGGTAACGCAACTATAAACAGCATTGATTCTGAGGCTATTGATTTAATCTTTTCTCATACATTATCTAAAAAAAAACCAAAGCTTTAGAAACGCGTACGAAGGTACAGTCGTTGGTAAATGTTTTTTCACCAACTTTTTACAAAAATGCAAAAGACATCAGACAAGAACATAGAGAGCCTTGTGTCAGTTCAAAAGCTGTGAGAAAACCAGAGGCAATAAAACTGCAGGCAAGCAGTGTCTTGGGCCAAACGTTTGCTTTGTGAGCAGTCATACAGGAATGTCGCTCTGAATGTCTTTTTCTGCAGTCACATTTTATTCACCACACCTGTATAGCTGCAACTTTCAAAAGCCTCCTCACCATCGCACAGTTGGAATTTTTCCGTTCACTCAGATGAACTGCAGTGACCCTGTAAGTGAAATCCACGTTATAAAAGCAGAATACCATTGTTATTAATAATGGAGTTTTGCCATTAAAAATTGTCTTCAAAAATTGAGTTTTCTGTATTTCTTCAGAGACAAACGTGTGCACTGACATACATATTAGGACTGTATATAGTGCAGAATCGAGAGGTTATTAACTATTTAACACAGTTTATATTAAATATAGTAAATATTTAGTTTGGTTATTTATGGAACGTCTTTCTCTTGTAATAAGATGATCTCTTTAGAAAAAGACGAGTTGGAAAAAGAAATATGTCACGGATGTCGGAAGGGACGAACCGTGGAGAGGCAGGAGAGCGGAAAAAGACCCATATGCGTAGCGGAGGAACGGGGGATTAGCCCGGGCTCAGCAGTTCGGGAGTCGTATTGAAACCAATGCCCTCAGGCAGCGGACGTGGGGCGACCTGGATGCTAGGCGGGTCTCAGGACATCCAAAAGTCAATGCTTTCGGAAATATATAGACCCAGAGAGAGAGACACCAGAAGGACAGCAAAGCACAGAAAACTAGGGACAGGACAGAGTAGGAGCACCCTCTGGCTGCAAAGGGCGTGACAAAATATGAATAAAGTGGTGCCCTTTTAAAAAAAAAAATCTATTGGCAGTGAAATATCGTTTGACTCCCTCTCCACTTAATTAAGCTTTAATGAAATGTTACACTGACAAAAGTGTTCAGATTTCTCTCATTGCTTTTGTATTATTTATTCAATCACTTACTTCCTCATATCACTGCCTGGGGTAGTTTGAACAGTTAAAGCTGCCCTCTCTCTTTAATGACAATCAACAGCATTTCATTCATATCTCTCATTTTGTCTTTTGACATGCTTCATAGATTTCTGGTATCCTTAAATAATAAGCACATGGCCAGTTCTGCGAGGGAAACCTGTTTTGTCATGACCTTTCTAAGGGAGTGGTATTGTATATTTTGTAATCCTTTTGTTATAGACTAGGCTAAAGTAGTTCAGGTGGGTAGAAGTGTCAGCATGCGTAGTCTGCAAAGGAACATGACTAGGCAAATGTAGTTTTCTCTGATAATGACATTGTGAAATATAGAAGCTGATAATGAATGGATTTGCTTAGAGGCGCAGACTTAAACAAAATCCTTAGCTTGAATTGTCTTAAATACCTCTATCAGTACTTAATAACTCTAAAACACAACTGCTTTTCACAGTGAATAAATGATCAGATGGATATTGACTTTGCAGTGAAGACTAAGCACAAAAGACACATAATGAAGGCCTTCAAAAAGAATCCAGTGACTATGACATCAGCAGTGGTTTGTCACTATGTCCCTAGTAGTTCAGTAATATTTAGCACAGTGCCTGCCACTCATATGACAGGACCTGGAATTTGGTGTAGCTCATGACCCAAATTTGTTTTCCACTAGTATTCTCAAACACTACGTTTGGGGCATAAAAATATCCAGCATCTCCTTGCAAAATTACTTCTGTCAACCACCTATACATTTTACTGTGGTGTAGCCCGGAAAAAGCAGAGCAAAGCAAAGAGGAGCTTGTAAAGTAATGACAAAAAGCAAAGTCTGGTAAATAATGATACAAACAATGGGATGTAATAAAGCAAAAAAAATGCGGAATGTAAATATAGAGATCACATGAATACATGCAAATATTCTATTGTGAACGCCTACCAGCGCAGATGAAGTGGAGGATTAGAGATTTGATCTTCCCTTGTGCTTTTTGTTTGCAACATGATATGTGGATTATGGGTGGCATGGTGGAGCAGTGGTTAGTGGTGCCTGGGCCCTGGGGCGCTATCTGTGCAGAGTCTGTATGTTCTCATGTTTGTGTGGGTCTGGGTGCTCGGGGTAGATTGGTTGGATTCTGGGAAAATTGGCCCTGGTGTGAATGTAGGTGTCTGTGTGTGCCCTGTGGTGGACTGGTGTCCTGTCCAGGGTGAATCCTGCCCAGCGCCTGCTGCTTGCTGGGGTAGGCTCCAGATCCTCCCAAACCTTCTACTGTATAAGTGGATTAGAAAATGGATGTGTGGCGTACAACTTCCAGTGATTCAGAGCAATACAGATTAATGAACTCCTGCGTGAATGACGGGTAATTCACTTGGCTCCATTTTATCTACTGGTTTTCCGAACCATGAGACGTCAATCTACACTCCAGTGTTTCTTCTTCCGTGCTCCCTGGTTCCTATGCTTACTATCCCTCTCCTGTCTTGCTCCGATGTAGGCTAGCCAGTATCCCGTTTGGACCATCCTTGCTGGACAAAATGAGTACCGGCTTGCTGCGGTCAGCTATACCGGCGGGGGGCACTGATGACCAGCTGATGCAGAGCGTGCGGAACCTGGTGTTGAGTGAGTCCTTGTTCTGTTTCACAGGAAGTCCTCCGGGGGGCAGCGGTTCACTGACTTGGCCCTGGAGTGGTCTCCATCTCTGCTGGTTCCCCTTCCTGCTGAACTCTTAGCTTCTTAAGTGATGATTATGAAAGATTTTGTTTTTAAAAAAGACGTGTCCATGATTATTTCTCTGATGGGGACAAAATAAAGTAAAAAAAGAACGTTGTTATGATAGTTGCGGTGTAACTGAAGTAAAAGCTCAGCAGCAAGGCTGGAGAGAAGGCACAGTTGCTTTGGGGGCCTCTGGGGTTCAAGGCCGTGCTTTAGAAGGTGGGGGGTGTTTTAGAGTTTACTCCCAGTTGTTAATTGAATTGTTTTGTTGAGGTGTATTGTTTCAGAACGTGGAAGCAAATTGTAATACATACAAAGCCCACAAGCATACTGTGGGATCATTTGTAAATAGCAAATTCTGCTATAATTCTTGGGCACATTACTGTTGATGTTACTTAAATGATTATTTTCTTAGGAATCTCCCCATCATTAAATTACACTGAAGAGTAATACATTAATCCTAATAGTTATTTGCAATGCCTTTCCTTAAAATCACAAATACTTCTAATTCCATATTTTGTGTGATTTAGACACCAAGACTGAAGACCTGTCCAATGTGAGCCTGATCATAAATAAACTGAATGAGACCATCCTCATGCAGCAGGTAAATATTTTACAGAAGTGGAGTTTACCTAACATATCATAATATGTTAACATATACATATGATCCAAATGGTCTCTCAGGTGTCACCATGGTGAGCCCGGGAAGAGAATTCTGGGTCGTGTCTGCCTGGTCTCAGTATGACAGTGTAAGCTATAACTGCAGTCCATCAGGTGACTGCCAAGAGCTCAGCAGTTGTTCTCTCTTCTCCGGCAGGCGGTGAGCGAGACGCTCTCGTCTGCGGACTTCCTGAAGAGGCTCATATGCAACCACACCCTGCCACTGCTCTTCCCCTCCGGCGACAGCTCCTCCAGCCCCCTAAGCTACGGCCTCCTCACCTTCTGCCAGTCCAAAGACACCTTGCTCGAAGCTGCCATTGTGACTCTCAACCATGTGGGTTTCAATTTTCTTCAGTCATAATTATTATTATTATTGCGATTGTTGTTCTAGTTCTTTATTAAAGTCCATTTTGTTCACATTTGCTCTTACAAAGATAACCTGTACAGTTACCATTTACACCATAGGTCATTAATTGGAGCAACCTACCTTACAGGGGGTACAGTCAAAGATTTGAACCCCCAACCCTCCTGGTCACTACTCCCCACTTCTGCCCTGACCGTGTTAACAGTTGTGCTTGTATTAGCATAGTGTATTGCTGGATCCAAGATGAATGACTCTGAACGTGCTTTTTGTGCAGTACAGTACTGATAGATCTGCTCTGATAGCAGATATTTTGTGGCTTCACTTCTTTTGTAAGGAACCCAGACCTGTTATTAGACATCACCCACGTGCTGTTGTGTTCATTCTCTTACGAGCATAAAAATGAGGATGTGGATTCTGTTCTGCAGGTTCTCTCAGATCTGGCGCTGAAGAACCCAGGAGAAATGCTCTTGATCGTGGGGGAGGTGTTGGGGGGGTTTGAGACACTGCAAGGGGAGGCGCCTCTGTGGGACTTCCTGCTGGGGCTCCCCCAGCTCTTCCAACCGGAACAGAGTCCGGAACAGAGCCTGAGCAGGGTCGTTGCACTGCTGGGCAGCATCACGAGGTGAGTGGACCGAGTGAAAGGGCTTGTGCTGTCCCACGTGCCCCTGATCCTCTCAGAAATGAGGTGTGCCACCAAGCCATGCCACATGTTGCACATTGCAGTTCTGTTGAGCAGAACACATGCTTGGTGTTCTAAATATTTACAAAGAAGCACTGAGCAGGGAGACGGAAGAACCATCACCCCCTTGGATTCTCCCATGGCAGATAACCCACAGCGCAGAGCAGTTTGTTGCTCTCTAGGGGAGTGGACCCGTGTTTGTTTTGAACCCGCAAAAGCCTGTGTTCAAATCCCAGCATGGGGAGACTAGAGCTGTACCCATCAACTCAGCTTATGTTCAAATCAATATGTCTGGTACAAAACAAAATCAAACTTGGCTGGTGGTCAGAGTGTAGGATAATCTTATGCTCTGAAACCTCCCTGTAATGCCTCACTGCTGTTCTCAAAAGCAGTTCTCTGAGTGTAACCAGCTCCTAGTACAGTACGGAAAGGGTTTACCATACAAGTTGTGGTGCCAAGCGTTGCTGGTGGACCAGTAGGTGGCACTCTTCCTAACACGAAGGACTAGGGAGACTGTAATGTGTGATGTTTCGTCCTTCAGATGAGACTTTAAACCGAAGTCCTGACCACTGGGTCTTTAGAGATCAAATAGCATGTTAAGTGTACTATCCTGGCCAGGGATCCTGGAGAGAAAAGTGTTACACAACCGCAAAGAATGACCATCATAAAAGTCTTCCAGACATTTTAGACTCAACATACAGGGAACCAAGAATAACATGTAATAAACAGCTCTGGTGCATATTTGTCCCGCTAATGTGCCTTGAAATCAACCTATTAAAATAATTTTCCACCAATCCCTCCATAGTGATCTAGGGGCAACCACTGCTCTAGCTGGGGACCACTGTGTTAGCTAGACTCTGTATAGACCTGAGCTTTGGACTAAGACGCAGGTGGCTTTCTGTCCCACCCTCTTACACTCTGAGGACATGCTCAACAGAAATCAGGTGCTCAACTTAAAGTCAGTCAGCAATCTTATACAAGAACATGGCCATCTGAGTCTTGTGACACTAGAGTTCACAGAACTCTAGAAAAAACATGAACCTTTTTTTCGATCTTACTCAACACATACGGTTACATGTCACACACAAAAAACAGAGCAGGAACTTGGCCTGCCCGATCGAGAAGAATGATGTATTTACCACAGGCACAGGAGAGTTCTGGCTAAATCTGAGCCTTTCAACCATGTGGGGCATTCTTATTTTATGCCATTTGAGTAGGGGGCTGCGTCAACATGCGTAGGCTGCAAAGAAACAAGTTAAGGTTCATCCCATACAGAAAGGTAAAGAAAAGAAACGCAATCGTTTTTCAGTGGAGCCTTTTTCAGGTGTCAGGTGATTCATAGGTCAGGTGACATTGTTTTGGCTTTGGAGCTTACTTCATGTGTCTGGCACCCGAAACGTTGTGTTTCTTTTCTTTATCCTTTGAGCATGGAATAACCCTTTACCCATTCTTATTTTACTGTGGCGGGGTTATGTATTTTGCATAGGTGTAGCTGAATTAATTCTAAGAAACAGTGTGCAGACTGAACTGTCAGTTACGTGAGACACAGGATCTCCCATCAGAAGAATGGGGTACTTGGGTTTATATTGTTCTGGCTGAAGGAAGATTCAAACTTTTCTGTACCAAGAGACACATTTATCAAGATCAGCGCTTCCTAAGTGAACAGTGCAAGACAGTTTGGTGCAAGGTATAATGGTTTGCTACCCGTGCGACAGTCCGAATTTTCTGGTTGTGACAGCTCCAGTCTCGTACCTGTCTGTCTGTGCTAGCTCCCCACACAAAATAATGGCACTGATAAGATAAAAAGACAAGACAAGAAGAGAAAAAGAGAAAAGCACGACTTTGATCCCTTTAAGCTCTGTACACATTTAGGAAGTAAATGTGTGAAATGTGTGATGTTGCAAGTATTGTTCTCTAAGCGCTGTATTGTTTTGCACATATCGCAGTTAAACTGGATGGAGCAGAATCTAGGAACTGGTTTCTGTGTGTGATTGCATGCCCAGTTAAACAATGTAAGAATTGCTGTGTAGGAGGACGTGTATGTGCACATGATGAGATTTTTGTGTGGATAAGTATGTAGGTGTGTCTGTGTGGCAATCCTAGAATTAATGCAATCTAATTCTGTAATGCTGGGGCCCCTACTACAACTAAGCATTATTTAATCAGTCTTTGAATCAGTGTAAGATCCCCCGCCTGCTTTAATTCTTCCATTATTGTTCCTCCTACCAGAAAAGGACAAAATGGCTTGTCTTAATGACTATATACCAGTTGGTCTTACTTCTGTGATAATGAAGACTTTAGAAAGTATGATACTTCTTTATCTCAAAACTATTACAGATTCTCATCTTGATCCTCTGCAGTTTAACATGGGCCATTGTTACACTACAGAATTCTCAGGCACACATGCAAGAATTCCTTTTGTGGACTTCAGTTCTGCATTTAATACTATCATCCCAGAACTCGTTTACAATAAATTATTGGTGAATATTCCACTTCCCATCAGCCAGGGGATTTTCAAATTTTCTCACAGAGAGAAAGCAACGGGAGTATCTAGGCCCTAATTTGTCAAACTGTCTGTTTGTGAATACCGGATGTGTGCTTTTGTGTGTACGCCAACGACTGCACCTCCAGAGACTCTTCCAGCAAACTAATTAAGTATCCTTACATCACTAGTGATCATGAGATCATGCACAGGAGGGAGGTGAGCCGTTCATATCATGGTGTGCTAACAATCACCTGGAGCTTAACAGCCAGGTTGATTTCCTAGAAACTTTCTCCAAAACCTCTGTGTCTGGTAATCCATGATGTGGCTGTGAGTGTGGTGGAGCCCTTTAGGTTTTTGGGAATTAATATTTCTAATACCCTTAAATGGGACATGAATATCACCAGTATCCAGTATCATAAAGAGAGCACAGCAGGGATCATACTTTTTGTGCCAACTGAAAAACTTTGGTGTCTCTCTGCGTATACTGATACAGTTTTACAGCATTCTGAGAGCATTCTGACTGTTTGATCTGCCCACTCCAAAGGCAAACTGCAGAGTGTTTTCCGCTCTGCGGAGAGGGTCATTGGATGTCATCTGCCCTCCATTGATAATTTGTACAATTCCAGAGCAAAGAAGCGGGCAGGAAAGGTTGCTGATAACCCCTCCCGTCCCACCCAGGTTACCACCGGTTTCATAAACTTCATCAGCAAGACGCAACCAGTCGATTAAAACCAGAACCACCCGGTATTTGAAGAGCCTCTTTCCTAGGGCTGTCTATTCTCCTAACCGGTATTCCTAGTTATGTGTACACTGTCCTAATGATCTCTGTTGTTTTGTTTATGTATTTGCAGCACCGAGGTTACCAATGGAAAATTCCTTGCATATTGTATTTGGCTAATAAAGGGGATTCTAATTCTGATTTACTTGAACATGTGAAACTGAATAAAACTCCCTTTTCTCTTTTGTTTCAGAGTGTTGGATCGCATACAAAAGGATTTTCTTCAGGCAAATCCTGTTTTGTCCTATGCAAACCACACGCTGGGTCAGACCATATCCATTCTGCAGTATGTTCTCAACTGGCCTGGCAAAGGTAGCCCTATTATAGCATCTCTCACTGTGCCACACTGTGACAGCTGAGAGGCAATGGGAGTGCTTTATCGGGATTTGCGCTTTCTTTACTTCGTTTTAACCCCTACTGTCTTCTAATATCACACTTCCACAGGAACCTCTTCATCTCTTCATGTCCTTTTCTGCCCGGGTCAGGGATAGCAAATCTGTTTTCTTCCCACCCACATTAAGAAAGCAGATGAGTGAACAGTGTTCACCTAGACCATGCGGTGTGATGGCACCACATTCAGAAGCTGTAAGAAAATACAACCTGCTTGCTCTTAGCTGAGAAACATTGGAGGGACCAGACTCCAGAGCTGTGGTCCTCAATAACCATGCTCTTCTCCTGCCAGTCAGTTGCAGCTGGATTAATATTCAGTACTGTATGTTTCTCAAGTCTAGAATCCCCTGCCCTTCTTATTATAGCCCAGGGATATGATTCAGCCTCATTAATTTTAAAACTGGCTCTGCTTTCCACGGTGTATTATTACTGTTAATTTGGCTGATATCCAAAGTGGCTTATACTGTATTTATAGCCGGTGGACATTTTACTGAAGCAATCTCAGTGCAGTACCTTGCCGAAGGGTATTACAGCTGCTGCTTCCCAGGATTTGAACCAGTGACCCCCCAGTTCCTAAGCCCTGTGCCACTGCTCCACACTGCCTGCCCTTACACTTTTTTTTTACTGTACATTGCTGGGTGTGGGTATTGCACTGGAGCTATTCAGATGATGTATCTTGCTCAGGCAGTGTCTCACCTGGGATTTGAACCAATGACCTTCCTATTACAAACCTGAACCGTGACCACTGCTGCTTAATACATGATCTCATTTACTTTAACAATCTCTGTGCATGCATGTGAAAAAGAATAGGTATCTCAACAGAGGGCACATTTCATGCATATTGTGTTTTTGACTAATTAATTGGTTAATTAATTAGTTCTCGCTGTTTCATTAGACTGTACTGTCTAAAAAAGCTGCATAATGGTTACTTTATATACACAAAAAAACACAAATTGAAGTCTCTATACAGAGTTCCACCTTTACAGTGTTGTGAAGTTTCAAAAGCTAATTAATATCAATTCCCATAATTAATAATAACAATGCATGGTTAAAATTAGTTGGGTGGATGGATGAACAGATAGATAGAACCTGTAACACATACTGACTCAACACATGCCCCTGTCCCTGAATAAATATGGTTTACAGCACCGTTCTAACTTATGCTCTGTAATTTGCATAACTAAAAGCAGTGTTCCACTATGTGTCTGTGTGTATTTGCAGGTGATTCAATTTCTCTAAAAGACGTTGTCACTAAATCATCTGGCTCTGAGGAAACCTTGATAGAAAATGTTAGGGTTCCGTTAGACAAGGTAGGTCTCATTGCTTCTGCCAGTCTTTCGAACATGATAATGTTAATGGTTATGTTGCACATATTTGATATACACATATTGAAAAGATGTCTATCTTCACTGTTTTCATGTAGTGATTGCTTTATAGCTGGTGCCCTCCTGTTGACCTTGAGTGTTGTCACATGAGGCATCTTTTCAGACAGAAAAGTGGCCATCAAGCTTTATTCTGTAGTTGATCTTTTGTGCATTCCTGCCAATCGACTTTTCAGTCGTTCCATCAATGGATCTTTTGTACTGTACATCAGGCCTTTCATTTCCATGACATTTGAAAAATATTAATAGTATTGTAAACAAAGTTCCATAAAATTCTGTAAGAAAAGTAAAATTGCTGAAAACAAGATATCCCTTTGACCATCAAGGTGCTTGAAAAATCAAGGCATCCGATGGTTTCTGACTCTTAATAAGAGCACTCTGTTGCCCTGACATCCCTACAGATTAACCACACCTGTATCTGTTAGATGTAGTTTGATTTGACAAGAACGAGAATAACTGAATGAGGAGGTTGTGTTACCTATAGATCATGTTCTCACACAGTATGAGAGCACATATGCAACTTCTCTTCTCCTTCCATTTGAAGGCGCTTGTGTTAGCCGACAACAGCTCATTTAATTCCTTCATCTGCGGGACGGTGAACGGGCTGGGCTCTCCCATGGCGGGGCAGTTCGACAGTCTGTGTGCCAGTGGGGGAACGCAGGCAGTGTTCAGCCGGATCGCACAGAGGAAGGTGGCCGAGCAGGTAGAGTTAGCGCTGATCTGGAGCAACATGTGTGGGAGCCATTGATTTAAAAGTCTAACAAAAGCAAGAGTCAATTGATTTGACTGCTGTGTATATACAGATAGTTAGTAATGCATTAACAATCTACTACGTATGATTGAAATGTTCAATCAAGGGCACTGAAATTGTAAAACCAGATGAGTTACAATCAGTGTTTCCTGTCCACTGTGGTAGTCTGTTAATAAATGTTTAGAGGACTCTTAGCCCACATAGACATTGTAAATGATGCCCAAACAGCAGTAAGAAGCTACCATTTGGAGAAAAGAAGGGGTAAATTAAACCAGCCTCTCTGTACTTTCCTGTGCAGGTGTTTCTGGCATGGACTCGGGCTGCCTCCAGGTCAGATGTGGACTTCACCTTTCAGACCGCAGGCAACCTCCTGAGAGCATACCTGCCAGACAACCAGGAGGTTGTGGGCAACCTCTCCACAGTGGGCCAGCTGCTGAACAGCTGGATCACTGTTGTCAATGACAGCATACTGCTCTCCCTTAACCAGACGACTGGGGAAAATCTGTAAGTGTAGACTGACTCTTTTTGTTCATCTTCACTAGCTTATGCCTTTTTTTTTACATAGATGAAAGTTTATAGACGTGTATATATTACAGTGCATACTTCAAGATTTTTGTTAAAACAGAAAGCATTAATCCTTGATAAAACAATGATAATAAAACATTAATTACAAATTGATATTTTATAAGTATATCTAAATAATGTAGTGCAGTGGCTTTTCATTTCTTTTTTATTTATTTAGGATTAATTGTACAAAACATTAAAGCTGACTTGGGCAATAGTACGTGATGAGACTGCTTCCTGTTGCATAGAAGCGATGTGTTAAAAATTCTACTTGACAAATTGCA